CAAGGTTAGTGGTAAAATTTAAGGTGGACAGGAATCGAACCTATTCTGAAGGGGGATGAAGAAGGTGAACCTCCATGGACAACACAATCTAGCCATGCATGCATACCGCTTCAAACATTCTGGCCTGACAAGAATGACAAGAACGCCACTGCTGTCGGTTCACTGCCATGACCTTCAATGTCTCTAACCAACCAGTTGCGGAGTCTTTCGGACCCCAACCTGGAAGGCGCGTGACACCTACTCTACCTAATGGCTCCGTGCATTTCTACATACCTCGTCTCCAAGTGGTTTCCTCCAGCCTGGAGCAGCTACAGCGAATTAAGCACGATGTGGTACACGGTAGCTCGGCATACGCAATACTTGGCCTTGCCAGCAACTACAGTTGTGAGTACAGTAAACTCAGAAAATTAAGGTACATCTGAGGTAATCCTTTTCAAAGAAGAGGATTGATTGGGGCTTCGCGGTTAACTGAGTCGAAGGCTCCTTTCAGGTCAAGGGAAACTGTGACCGTTGATCGACGGTGGCCGTGACGCAGCTCAAGGACCTAACGCAACGCAAAAATTTGATCCATAAATCCACGACCAGGCCAGAATCCGGTTTGCTGTTCACGGATGTTGGTCTCTCCTAAAGGTGCCAGACGCTGAAGTATGACTGAGGTTAACACTTTGGTGGTTTTCACAATCGTTGTGAGACCCTTTCTTGAAAATAGGAGCGACCAATGGTTCGCCCCAAGATAAAGGAATGCGCTCTTGCGCCAAAATATTGTGCAGCAGGGTAGTAATAGAGCTTACGAGGTTACCCCCACCACCACTATCCGATCCTGCTGACTTTCCTCGCTTCAATGCAAGATCGAACATCTGCTTCTGTCAAAGGACCGCACGTCACTGCCCACGAAGCTTCAGTTGCAGATGAAGTAATTTGGCTAGCGCCAGGCCAACTGAACTGTTTGTTGAAATATCCCACCCAGCTCCTTATCATGAATAGCATGTCCCCTTCTATCTCAGACTGTACCGATAACTGCGGCTCACCGACCTCCCGTGTTGTGTATCAGTTAGAACAGCCCTTGACTATTACCTGAAGCAACTGCTGCTTCCACTTCAACTGTTGTTGCCCACCAGTTCTCACGGTCCTTCTTCAGACTCTTCGTGAGCTAAAGTTGTTTTGATCCCGGCAGGACTACTGACTCATGAGATATCCAGTACCTACGACAGGCTCGAGGCTTAGACCCACAAGCAGCATTCGCTGCGGAATTCATTGCCCGCCTAATCTGATCCCACCGCTCATTTACATCATCACGTTGAGGCGCGCTTAGTTTATGCACTAGCACTCGCAGCGTGTACGAACTGTTGGGACAGACGGTCGATGATGAGACATCCGAGTTTGCTGGTTTTGTCGTCGACCAGTCAGTCGAAGAGTGAATTGCATCAAAACTAATGCGTGGTCAGACTTAACGCAGGTGGTCCAATAGGACCTGCAATTTTGCACTGAGCTACGCCAACGGTAGCTTACTGCTATGCGGTCGACTTGAGTTAGTGTACCAGTTGAACTGGAGAGCCAAGTTGCCGTCCGTCGAGAGCTGTGTGGGAATTCGGTACTGGATAGGAACACATGGTTTGCGATGAACTGAAGAAGTCGATCCCCGTTAACCGTTCTCAGGCAGGATAGAGCACAACTACCGACTAGGCAAGCTTCTTATGCACTCAGTTTTCCAACCTGCGAGTTGAAGTCACTTGCAAGTACAAGTATGTCAGAGCTTCGAGTCATCCGAATGAGATCGGTGAGTTTATCGTAGAAAGCGTTCTTTTGTGTATCAGAACTGCAATTGGTCGGTGCATATGCCGATACAATAAACGAACACCTTTTGGTGTTGTTTCGCTTCCGGACGTTGATTGAACCCTGAAGACGCAAAGCCCATAAACGACTGTTGACGGGGATCCAGCCGATAAGAGAAGACTCGGACCAGTCACTGAGTACCATACCTACCCCTTGTTGAACTAATGGTCGGGCTTCGTTATGGTCTGGTGTGCGAAGAACGTAACTCGAGGAAAATCTGGCATGCTTATGTGGTTTACAGTAGTAGGATCCTGGATTCGAGTGTCCGATACGCAGCAAATATCGATCCCCAAGGATTAGACTGTACGCACCAGATAAACTTGTTGATCCAACTGCATCAGTTTCAGTTTCAGTTTGTACAACCATTAACCATGCACCTTCGTGCGGCGGTTTTGATTGCTGTCCTTTGGCTGCCCATTTGGATGAACACGAGGAGAAAGAAAGGTTAAAAGTAGGATCGAACAGAGAATTTCAGTGGTCTAGGGTTGCAAAGAAACTGAGATGCACGAATGTAACTGTTTACGACACTCAGCCATATCACTGTCTCTAATCATCGGTTACGATCATCCCAAGGTCCCCAGCCAGGGAGCCTAACGGAACCTATGTGAGCCAGACTCCTGGTTAGAGTTTTTTACCATTATTCCAGGTCTTAGCATGACCACCCTTGACTTTCTTCAACCCACTACCTATCTCGACAAAAATCGCGCGCCGAGGCAACCTATCTGGTGATCTGGGCCCAGCGCAGTGAAGAGATTGGCGATTTCCATGTAAGGCGGTGTCGTTGCTTGTGCGAGCAGTTCGTGTTTAACAGAAACAGTCCGTGGCCCGTGCAGAGTTGAAGTAAGCTGAAGGCCCCCCAAATTCAGTGATTGACGAGGCTTCATAATCTGGAATCCATCATCATCATCATTGTACAGCGAACTTCACTGATCGCTGCCAAACTCGCAATGTATACAAGGTTAGTGGTAAACTTTAAGGTGGACAGGGACCTACTTTGAGGGAGAGGGAAGAAGAGTCACCGTGGTCAACAGGTAGAGTGCACAATCTAATTGTGCATACAAACCGCTTCAGGCATTCCGGCCTGATGAGGAATGACAAGAACGCCATTGCTGTCGGTTCACTGCCATGACCTTCAATATCTCTAGGCCGTATGCAAGCGGACATCAGCAAAGCGCACGAATGGCGAATTAAATCTCATAATACAAACCACAGCAGCAAGATTTCTATGACTAACTTTGCCAAATTAGGCGCACTGTATGAAGTAACTGTTGAAGAAGCAGAAAAAAAAATAAAAACAAACCTCATAGTTTTTCCTCCATTCTTTTTCTAATTCTGCTGCTTTTCGCTCTTCTTCTTCCTCCTCGGCTTTTCGTTTCCTAAGGGGACACCCAAGAGGAAAGCAAATGTAAGTAAAGATCACAACGAAAAAATGAACAAAACAGTTATTCTACATAAAAGCAGCTTTCGAATTAAATAATTGTCTCTACTCTGTTAACTTACTCGAAAAGGAATATACCATAAGTATATTACACAGTTGATATTACTGTACCAGCAAACTTCTGGGCGATTAAGTCATGGCCAAACTATGGAACCTGTTCGTAACAAGTAGTAATATTTATCAGGAGTGCCTTATTTCGACATTTTCCAACTTCGTCATAACCATAATACTGCCAGAAGNATGGGTATACAGAGAAAGCCGTACAATCTGGAATAAATTAACAGCATCACCTGTCCGTCAAAAATATGGAAGATATGCAAAGTCCACTTGGCATACTGGCAAGCTCTGCTGCTCCTTTCGGTATGTTTTCCTTCTTCAGAGTACAGATTGATGCTGTAGGACTGGGTGTCAATTAAGCCTGCTATAGGGTTCGAAGGTCAGGAATTGACCAGTTGTTCATTTCTTCTACCCCTGAAGTTGCGAGCAGAATAATGCCAGAACAGTAGAGGTATTCGTACGCATATCAAAAGCTAGAGCAACGTCTACTGGTCTGGTGTTGGCGTGGGTTCCTTGAAGTTTGAAGATCACATACATAAGTTCGCAGTGCACTCAGTTTAGCGAAGACGCCTGAAAGACATTCATCGGTTGGAGGTCCTCGACTATTGGTGTTTAATTGGTTTTGGTGTGGAAGCTTACAGTTTAGTCAACAGGAGGTAAGCAACGATTATATAAGGTCATCTTATTGTATCTCGCTGTGCGACTGTAGGTAACACACGCCAAAGGCCTAGGTGTGGTGGTCTCTAGTGACTTCAAGCCTTCCAGACAATGTATAGCGGGAGAGAATAAGGCCAGATGGGGAACTCTTTGGGATAAGGGCGATAATGTCACGCGTAGGCCCGCAGGTTCTGATCCCATTGTTTATGGCTATCATCCGGCCACATCTGGAGTATTGTGTCCAGGCACGGACACCATATTTGCAGAAGGACCTAGATTGCCTGAAAAGGATACAAAGGCTAGCAACCCGAATGATATCTGGTCAGGGATACAAGGAGTAAGAGGACAGACTAGAAGACCTAAACCTGTTTTCCCTCCGACACAGACGCATGAGGGGTGATTTAATTAAAACGTTCAAAATAATGAACGGCTTGCCGGGTATCCGTAGTGAAAAACTATTCTCCGCAATCCCGGACAGTGACACCAGGGGGCATAGCCTCAGACTCGTGTAATCACAGTAGGCTGCAACTCCAAGCCAGGTTCTTCACCAACAGGGCGATCCCACGATGGAATAAGCTACCAGAACACGCGGTCAGATGTAGCACTGTGGTAGAATTAAAGACCACCCTGGATGAGTGCTAGACAACCGCCTACCCAGAACCAGTCTACTGAAAAGTAAGGAGCTAAGAAAACGCACCCTAGCCGGTAAGATTTTAACTTAACCTATATGGATTTAGGCTGGGAATAGGTGTTACCTGTGAATCTGCCAGGTGAAGAAATTTTATGTCGATTCTGCCAGGTGTAAATGGTTAGGCTCGCGGTCTCTCATACTAACCACTAACCCATAGCAGTATGGCCCAGGCCAAGCCCGCTGAGTTTTTAAGCCTATTTTCAGAAATACCCCATCTGGAAACGCCCACTGAGGACTGAGACAACTGGATTCATCAACGAAAACGAAACGTAATGGTCGATCGCTGGAATCGACCATACGCAGTGTTGGAAGCTACAAACACCCGCCAACAATACAATAATCTGGACACTCGATTGGCTCGAGGCCACATTTCGTCCTGTAGCACAGTATGCATCATACCAGGTGAAGAGTCGAAAAACGAATCAATATACGACTTTAGGAATTCAAAAATCATAGTGACCAAATCTAACCTATCATTAGACTGTTTCAGTTCTTCTTCCACGCGTAGCCGCTCCAGGTCAGCGAACAATTTGCATGTTTGGACATAAACTGCGTGCCTTTTCTAAAGGAAAATAAGTAACAACAGGATAAAACCTTTTCCGGGTCATCTTCTTCAATGTCAGCAAATGAGCCACATCGACGTAATCTTCTGCGTTTCTCAATCATCTACTCGGTGGTTTTGGTAATGTCAGAAATATGCAAACCATTTGTTCCACCCGTTCTTTTGCTTCCTCGACAACTTCCAAACACTTTCGGGAAGCCTCTGGGTCCTCAAGAGTCCTATAAGCTTTTGCGACAGCTAAAAGAAATACAAAATATTCCATGTACCAACCGTCAAATGCTTTCTGTGCCCTTTCAGAGTCATCTCTATTTTTATCCGGATGTACAAGCAAAGAGAGCTTTGAAAGGGTCAAAAACAATTTCCGGTTACCTGACGATATCTTTTCTTAACGTCCACCAAGGGAGTGTCCGGGTCTACTTGTAGTACCTGCGCAACAGTCAACTGTGAAATTTTAAACATACATCGTATGGATTCAGATTGAAATACGTACAACCAGGTCTATTCAGACGGTCAATCTGTTGCTTTGGTGTCAGAACTGAATCACGCTTTT